CGGGGGGGGGGGGGGCCCGGGGGGCCCCCCCCGCCGGGGGGGGGGGGGGCGGGGGGCTCCAACCCACCCCCCCCCCCCCCCCTTCATATAGACACCCCGGGGGGCCCCCCCCCCCCCCCCGGCCCCCCGGGGGGGCGCCCCCCCCCCCCCCCCCCCCCCCCCCCCCCCCCCCCCCCCCCCCCCCCCCCCCCCCCCCCCCCCCCCCCCCCCCCCCCCCCCCCCCCCCCCCCCCCCCGGGCCCCCCCCCCCCCCCCCCCCCCCCCCCCCCCCCCCCCCCCCCCCCCCCCCCCCCCCCCCCCCCCCCCCCCCCCCCCCCCCCCCCCCCCCCCCCCCCCCCCCCCCCCCCCCCCCCCCCCCCCCCCCCCCCCCCCCCCCCCCCCGCCCGGGGCGGCCCCCCCCCCCGCCCCCCCCCCGCGGGCCCGGGCGGCCCGGGGGCCCCTTCCCCCCCCCCCCCCCCCCCCCTCTTCCTCTTTCCCCCCCCCCCCCGGCCCCCCCCCCCCCCCCCCCCTCTCTCCCCCCCCCCCCCCCCCCCCCCCCCCCCCCCCCCCCCCCCCCCCCCCCCCCCCCCCCCCCCCCCCCCCCCCCCCCCCCCCCCCCCCCCCCCCCCCCCCCCCCCCCCCCCCCCCCCCCCCCCCCCCCCCCCCCCCCCCCCCCCCCCCCCCCCCCCAACCCCCCCCCCCCCCCCCCCCGCCCCCCCGGGGCCCCCCCCCCCCCCCACACACCCCCCCCCCCCCCCCCCCCCCGGCCCCCCCCCCCCCCCCCCCCCCCCCCCCCCCCCCCCCCCCCCCCCCCCCCCCCCCCCCCCCCCCCCCCCCCCCCCCCCCCCCCCCCCCCCCCCCCCCCCCCCCCCCCCCCCCCCCCCCCCGCCCCCCCCCCCCCACTTTTTTACCAACTTTTTTTATTAGTTTGTTCTTAATTCCTTGTTTTCCCTAAAAAAACCACCAACCCCCCCCCCCCCCCCCCCCCCCCCCCCAACCCCCCCCCCCCCCCCCCCCCCCCCCCCCCCCCCCCCCCCCCCCCCCCCCCCCGCCCCGGCACCCCCCCCCCCCCCCGGCGGGCCGCCGGGGGGGCGCCGGGCCCGCCGGAACCCCCGGGGGGGGGGGCCGGCCCGGGGCGGGGGAGCCCCCCCCCCCCGCCCCCCCCCCCCCCCCCCCCCCCCCCCCCCCCCCCCCCCCCCCCCCCCCCCCCCCCCCCCACCAAAAAGCCCCGGGCCCCCGGGGCCCGCCCCCCCCCCCCCCCCCCCCCCCCCCCCCCCCCACCCCCCCCCCCCCCCCCCCACCCCCCCCCCCCGCGGGGGGGCCCCCCCCCCCCGGGGGGCGGCCCCCCCGGGGGAGGCCCCCCCCCCCCCCCCCCCACAAAAACCCCCCCCCCAAAAAACCCCACACCCCCAAAAAACCCCAACCCCCCCCCGCGCTTAAAAACACCCCCCCCCCCGCGCCCCCAACAGCACACAAGCGGGCCCGCCCCCGCGGGCCGCAGGCGCCCCCGGGGCCGTGTGGTTCTGGTTGGGGTGGCCCCCGGGCCCCCGTTCCCCCCCCCCCCCCCCCCCCCCCCCCCCCCCGCCCCCGGGCCCGCCCCCCCCCCCCCCCCGCCCCCCCCCCCCCCCCCCACCCCCCCCCCCCCCCCCCCCCCCCCCCCCCCACCCCCCCCCCGCCCCCCCCCCCCCCCCCCCCCCCCCCCCCCCCCCCCCCCCCCCCCCCCCCCCGCCACCCCCCCCCCCCCCCCCCCCCCCCCCCCCGCCCCCAGGCCCCCGGGGGCCCCGGGGCCCCCCGGGCCCCCCCGGCACCCCCCCCCCCCCCCCCCGCGGCCCCCCCCCCCCCCCCCCCCCCCCCCCCCCCCCCCCGCCGCCCCCCCCCCCCCCCCCCCCCCCCCCCCCCCCCCCCCCCCCCCCCCCCCCCCCCCCCCCCCCCCCCCCCCCCCCCCCGCCCGGGGGGGCGGGGGCGGGCCCCGGCCCCCCCCCCCCCCCCCCCCCGGGGCCCCCCCCCCCCGGCCCCGGGCGGGGGCCGCCGGGGGGGGGGGGGGGGGGGGGGGGGGGGGGGGCCGCCCGGGCCGCGGGGGGGGGGGGGGGGGGGGGGGGGGGGGGGGGGGGGGGGGGGGGGGGGCCGCCCGCCCCCCCCCCCCCCCCCCCGCGGGGGGGGGGGGGGGGGGGGGGGGGGGGGGGGGGGGGCCCGGGGGGGGGGGGGGGGGGGGGGGGGGGGGGGGGGGCCCGGGGGCGCCGGGGGGGCCCGGGGCGCCCCCCGCGGGGGGGGGCCCCGGGGGCGGGGGGGGGGGGGGGGGGGGGGGGGGGGGGGGGGGGGGGGGGGGGCCCCGGGGGGGGGGGGGGGGGGGGGGGCCGCCCCCCCCCCCCCCCCGGGCCGCCGGCCCCCCCCCCCCCCGGGGGGGGCCCCCCCCCGGCGGCCGGGGGGGGGGGGCCGGGGGGGGGGGGGGGGGGGGGGGGGGGGGCGGGGGGGGCGGGCGCGGGGGGGGGGGGGGGGGGGGGGGGGGGGGGGGGGGGGGGGGGGGGGGGGGGGGGGGGGGGGGGGGGGGGGGGGGGGGGGGGGGGGCCGGGGCGGCCCCCCCCCCCCGGGGGGGGGGGGGGGGGGGGGGGGGGGGGGGGGGGGGGGGGGGGGGGGGGGGGGGGGGGGGGGGGGGGGGGGGGGGGGGCCCGGCCCGGGGCGGGGGGGGGGGCCCCGGGGGGGGGGGGGGGGGGGGGGGGGGGGGGGGGGGGGGGGGGGGCCCCCCCCGGGGGGGGGGGGGGGGGGGGGGGCCCCCCCGCGGCCGCCCCCCCCCCCCGGGCCGCCGGGGGGGGGGGGGCCCCCCGGGGGGGGGGGGGCCCGGGGCGGCGGCCGGGGGGGGGGGGGCGGGGGGGGGGGGGGGGGGCGGCGCCCCCCGCCGGGGGGGGGGGGGGGGGGCCCCCCCCCGGGGCGGCGGCGGGCCCCCCCCGCCCCCCCCCCCCCCGCCCCCCCCCCCCCCCCCCCCCCCCGGGGCCCGCCCCCGGGGGGGGGGGGGCGGGGGGGGGGGGGGGGCGGGGGCCCCGCCCCCCCCCCCGGGGGGGGGGGCGGGCGGGGGGGGGGGGGGGGGGGGGGGGCCCGCGCGCGGCCCCCCCCCCCCCCCCCCCCCCCCCCCCCCCCCCCCCCCCCCCCCCCCCCCCCCCCCCCCCCCCCCCCGGGGGCCCGCCCCGCCCCCCCCCCCCCCCCCCCCCCCGGGGGGGCCCCCCCCCCCCCCCCCCCCCCCCCCCCCCCCGGGGCGGCCGGGGGCGGGCGCCCCGGGGCGGGCCCCGGGGGGGGGGGGGGGGCCCCCCGCCGCGGCCCCGCCCCCGCCCGCCCCCCCCCCGCGCCCCGCGGGGCCCGGCGGCCCCCCCGCCCCCCCCGCCCCCCCCCCCCCCCCCCCCGGGGGCGGGGGGGCGGGCCGGCCGCCCCCCCCCCGCCCCCCGGGCCGGGGGCTGGCGGGGGGGGGGGGGAAAAAAACAAAAAACAAACCAGGTTGTGATGGAATAGTAAGGTAACTTGAAATCTGTACCTTCTGTACATACCCTTTAAAATGGAAAGAAGCACATGCAGTTCCAATTCATAATAAAGGCTTCAAATTTTTTTTTGATAATTATCGACCTATCTAAATCTTTATTTATTTTAGCAAACCATTTGAAATAGTTTATTATTATAAGTCTATTAATAACTAAACGGCTACCGGAACGACAACACGGCTTTACTATGAAATCGCTGAACTCTTTCTAACTTAACTTGTATTTTATACTGCGAGTTATGGATAAGGGTTAACAAATTGACGCTATTTACGGATATAGAAAAAGCTTTTGATCGTGTTGATCATATTATCCTGATACATCAGCTTTTCTCCATTTCTACCTTAGAATACGTGGCGATCTTTACAGATAGATAAAGTCAAGCATAACTGACGGCAAGCAATAGTATAAAAGGACGTTTATTATTAACATTACATCAGGAGTATTCCAAGGGTCAATACTTGGCCCATTATTATTTAATGCTTATTTATACGATATAAAATACTGTTTTCACTTATCTAAGCATCTTACGTTTGCGTTATAAAGAAATTCAACAAAATCTCATAGGCTAGAAATATCTAACAAACAAAAGAAACTTTCAATAAATATAAACAAATGTAATTAGATAAACATTTTCGCGTAAAAACAAAAAAATAACAATACATTTACAAAATCGACGACACCCTAATAAAACAAGTAAAATTAGTAAAAGATCTTGGAATATTATTAGATGAAAAAATAGGCCTATCAGCACACATAATTCAGGTTTATTAAACTATGACACGAATTATGAGGATGTTGATAACTTCGCCTCTTCCTCTTTACCTCAGCTTGACTTTGTTTAGCAGTAACAATTTAGTTTTTTCTTTGAAATATTAAATATAATTTGTCGTTGTTTAATGTAAAATTTCAGTTTTCTTTTATTTATTTTCTTTTCTGTACTAATGTATTTACTTATGTTTTCTGTTGCATATACATTGTTTATCTATGTAATCTGTGTTGGCTTTGTATATTATCTAATTGTTTTGTTATATAATATGTTTGTTAGCTGTAAGATTACTAATAACTAAATCAAGAAAAACAGTTTATTCCAAATTGGCCATTGTAGGACTGTAGATTTATGGATGCCTTTAATTAATTCTCAATAAATTTTAAAACACGAGGATACCTTTTTTCTACGAAATTTGTTTGTACACAATGATAGTACCTTATTTTACCTTTGAAATAGATCGCAACAATCATAAAGAATAAAGATAGTTTATATATATATCTAAACTTATATATATATTCCAAGATCAAAATATTTCCGCCGAAAGAGTGGTAAGTAATAGATTATTATTTCACATTCGTCAAATTGTGCCGTCGTAATGTGCGGTTCCTGTACCGTCCGTAGTTTTGATTAAAGTGAAACAATTGTAAAACGCTTTTGCTTTGGAGTATAATTAGAAAAATTACTGTAATGTACATTTATCACCATCTAGGAATCCAGTTTAATATAAAGATGAAGGAGGAGAATCAAGGAGAGTCTCAGATCCGGAAGTCATTCGCGGGAGCTAACATTTTACTGACGGGAGGAACTGGCTTCCTTGGAAAACTGCTTATTGAAAAATTACTAAGGTCAGTTGTGCTTCTAGATTATTATTATTTTGTATATGGAAATTCGAAATATAACCCATTTTAAATCTTTGTATCATGTACGTTTATGTACGTACATGTTCATGTACGTGATTGGTCGATCTCACGTCTACGAACACGATTGGTATCATCTACAGATTTGTTTTAATTTAGTTTAGTTTTGCGTTTTTAATTTTCTATTTACTTTTTGGGCCACAACTCTTTTATGCAGATGTTGCCCGGAGCTTAACAAGATATATCTATTAGTGAGGAAGAAGAAAAATAAAGATCCACAAACACGATTAAAAGAACAGTTCGATGATGTGGTAGGTACAGCATATTATGCAAAACATTTTTAATGCCTAGAAATTAACAATTTAAAATTATGTGAACATTTATTAAACGTGATATTTGATATCTCTTTATCACTTATTCTTAAAGCCTACGTTCTCATTGTATTTTTTTCAGCTGTATGAAACACTTCACAAAGATCAGCCAGATTTCATCAAGAAGGTAGAGATTCTAGAGGGAGAGTTGGACAGCGAAAATCTTGGTCTCACAGACCAGGATTGGCTGACAGTATGCGATAAGGTACATTATAGTACGAAACTTTTTGATAGGTCGCAGCAAACCTAAAAGTATAATTTTATAGGATACTCAGTTACCTACTCAGTTTTTTTGTAATTTTATGTGTTCCTTTATCTTTGTCGCAAACAAATAATAGCCATTACTGATATTTAATTTCATGCTTTCAGGTTAATTTTATACTCCACGGAGCAGCGACCGTCCGCTTTGACGAGACCCTGAATAAAGCCGTACGCATCAATACACGTGGCACCAAGGAGATGTTAAAGCTTGCTCGCTGTTGCAAATACCTTGAAGCTTTTGTCTACATTTCGACCGCTTATTGGTAAGGAAAGACAATAGCAAGAAATTCGCAACCCGTGGTGGTACCTCGTCTTTCTTTTTGACGCGCACCACCACTTTGTTGAACCAGCTGTCTATTGAAACTTCGCCAATAGCTAAAGCTAAGCTCGCCAAAACAGCCCGAGCTGAGCTGTAAAGGCCCTATAGGCCAACAACGAGATTCCATTGAGAAATAAAACGTAAATATTATGTTGAAGTTGTTGTGTTTTCGAAAGTTTGATTCCATGTAATATAAGTGTCCCTCTCTTTGATTAATAATCTCTCTCCTCAATACTCTATGTGTGGTGTCTTTCCGTACGTTAGGTTATTTTCGTACTCTATCTATTAACAAACACACTCAATGTAAAAGTCGCAAAAATGTCTACCTCATGCTTTTGCATAACCTAAAAAAAATGTTTTATTTTCAGTAACCTCCCGCAACAACCGATAGAGGAAAAAATTTACGACTTTCCACTGACCAGTGATCTTCTTATTGACGTAGTTGAACGCTTGGATTCAAAAACTGTAGACGACATTACACCTGGGTAAGTTTTATATTTATTTTTATTTTGCTTTGTACACTAATTATGTATATTATGTTTTCTATTCTTTCGTTGTTTAACTGTTTATCTTTTATGCTTTTAGACTAATAGGCATGTATCCAAATACATATTGTTACACAAAGGCGGCCGCAGAAAACCATCTTCTTAAACATTCTCAAGGATTACCTGTTGCTATATTAAGACCTTCTATAGGTAAGACGTTTACTAATATTATAGTTACCAAGTATTTAAAAATATCAATATATTAGTTATAATAATTTAATCAGATTAACGGTGTTCAATAAATAGTGACAGTATGATTCAATTACTTGGAGAAAAAAAGTAAATACGCAGGCAGGCATAGCCCAGACAGTAGATATAATAAAAATAAAAAATTAATCATTCATTCAAGTCATTTGGTTACGACGTTTCGGAAAGTTTCTTTAAAATTGGATTAAATTTAAGTTCGCGAGGTAAAAAAATATCTCTGTTTGAAACATTTTGCTAAGGAGCTGGTAAATCGTCTTAAGAGAAACATAAACTCTCCTCCATATCCTACGGTTGCGTGTTAGAAAGAACATCAATTAACGACGACCCCTGCAAGTTGGTAGTGACTAACCAAATGATTTTAAAATTTGGAGACATTATTTGGATCATGTCTTACTGTTTGTTTAACACGTTCACTGCGTAACAGGCCGATATCAGCCTGCCGCGGTATTTCAGCTGGTGCGGACGAAGAAATCTATGTACCTCTCGCTGGTGCGTAACGATTATCTCAGGTGTTTGTAAAAATTCGACAGGGACAAATATATATTTCATCTTGCGGTCAAAATTGTAGGTTTTCCCCATCAAAACATAACGGCAGGCTTTTATCGACCTACCACGCACTGACGCTGCTGTGCATCCGCTGAGTGCGGCAGTGGGCCTTTTTCAGCCCGCCCTCCCAACAGGCAGCTGGCGACCCGATACCGCACTGAGCGCGCGCCCGGCTAGTTAGTGTTGTGCTAACTAACTGATCTAACGTAGCGTTCGATATAATCAACGATGGCAAGCAATACAAGAAAAATACAAATTTAGGAAAATAGAGTAATTCGCCTTGCAGTTATTGACAGTGATAGTGACAGCAGTGAAGAAATATTTTCCACTAAGAAAAATAAAAAGTATTTCTGTTTCCAAGACAGGCATACATAAGTAATAAAATACATTTTTCAGTTCCTTTACGATAATTTTGTATTATTTTCGATATGTCTCTGTCCCATCACTACTAAAAATATATTCTAGTGCGGTTCAGGTCGATATCGGCCTGCCGCTTTTCTGCTTTATTTCTCATTTCCTGTTTGCCAGATCCCGGGGCGAATCAAACCTAAGGAAGTTGGGTTCAAGGTCATTCTAACAATATAAAAAAAAATGTATACATTATGTTTCCACAAAGTTATAGCAATTTAATCTATCCTAGTGCTGTTGGGTCTAGAAAGACCTGCCACGCACCAGCGGAAATATCATTGGGGGCGCATTTTGGCCCGCCGCCGCACCTGATAAAAAATTATGATTTTACTTGCCGCAGTGAACGTGTTAATAGCAGAAGAAATAAAGAATTTTAGAGGGGTGATATTATATTACCACTACCATTTGTGTTATGAAACAAACGAGACTGAGAAATTCACAAAGCTCGGGTTTGTAAATCCTCAATCTCCAATTCTAGATCCCTCAATGAAGGCGTTCCGCAAGGTTGTGTTCTTTCGCCTACCCTGTTTGTTCTGCATATCAATGACCTATTGAACATTGACAACATCCATTGCTTTGCAGACGACAAAACTATCGACATATTATTATTTCCGGCTATCCGAACATGTCTCGATCTGAAGTAGATGAGAACCGTAACAAACTTGTTTTCAAAATTGAAACTATACTGGAGAAAGTTTCTGTGTGGGGTAGTTGTAGGAACCTTGTAAAGTGTAACTTTACAAAGACTCAGGTCTGTTCGTTTTCGGCCAAAAAATATTTCGTGATGTATGCATCACAAAAGACAAAAGTATATCAGTTATATGTAACTGTGTCTTCACAATTTGTACTTCACACAGCCTCAGTATATTTGGGGTATATCGTAAGAAGTCCAATTCCGCAATATTTATGAAGAAAATGCCAAACTGGCATCCAAAATGCTAATGCGTAATGAAGTATTGTTAATATGTAATAATTTCCAGTGATATCAACGGCAAAAGATCCCATTCCTCTGGGTTGGATTGATAACATTTATGGACCGACTGGGGTGAGTTGCTTTCAAATTTTAAAAGTTCTGTAAAATAAATAGTCCTGTATTTTATAATAAATAAAATGATCGCCATCTTAATTTATGTTTACTTTATACGATTGTATATTAATAATAAACTTTAACTTAATAAGTGAGGTTTTTGTGAGAGTATGTTGAGTTTTTTGAGTGAACATTTTTAAGATTAGAAACAAGAAACAAATTTTAGTAACCAGCAGCCAGAGCCTTTGAAGCCTCTTAAGAACCGGAAACTAGGCGGTTGTTAGTTACAGTTCTTTTCAACACAGAATACACACATTTCATAGGTATGGACAGGAAAGATAAGATGATATAATTGCTCTTTCCAATAAACGCGTTTTCAATGAGTAGTTTGGCTTCAGGCCGGCCCATTCGTGAACTCGCCAAGTCCATAGGATCACGGAGCACATCCTTTACGGGGAAAATAGCTCCCTAGGAAAACAGATACCTAGTGCCGCAAGGGCTTGGTTAACAAGCTCTAATGGCACCTTCAAGCTCCAATAAGACCCTTGCACATCGTACACGACTCCTTGTCTCTTCTTGTCTTCGTGTCTTGCCCGATACGCTGTCAAGGCCCTTCAGGCCAACAGCGAGATTCCAGTAGGGCTTTTTATAAAGGGGAATCTATATAGATGCAGATAAAGTGTTAATGGTATTGTTTTAGATATGTGTTGGAGCTTCGGTGGGCATTATTCGAATAATCAAATGTAACCCGGATGCCATCGCCGATTTAGTACCAGCTGATTTTGTTGTTAATGCTTGTATTGCCGTCGCTTGGAAGACTGCTCGACACCATAAAAAAACCTCTGAGAGAAAACTTGAGGAGCACAGTGAGGGACCGAAAGATGAGGCGACAACAGCTGACCAGATTCCCCGTGTATATAATTATGTATCTGGAAACCAAAATCCTATCACATGGTGTAAGTTATATTTCCTGTTACCTTTGTGGTCATGTTTGGATGTAGCGCAAATGTACTAAAAGTCGTACTCTTTTGTCTTTTTCTGTCAAATTGGGCTTACGATGTGATAAAAAGAGACAGGTTTTAGTTAAATTGGGCTAGACTGATTTATTTTTTATAAATACAGGGTTAGACTCCAGGTTCACTGCATATCACACATGACACAGTCGCGTGATCAATATCTCCTAATGTCTTTTATAATACTTCCAACAAAGCACCATTGCAGAACCATCGAATCACCACGTACTAGAGTCCTTTGAATAGATTTTGACTACTTTAGTCAAATAATATAACAATAAATCTTTACTCTGCTGATATACATTATAAAGCTTAAAATATTTATTTACATACGATATACTATTAAAGAGATATTATAAATTTACTTTTTTTAGGTACTTTTATGAATTACGCACATACACACGGATTTACAATGGCGCCGAGTAAAGCAGTGTGGTGTTATATGTTATTTCTTATAAATAACGCGCTCCTGTTCAGAACTTTGAACATCCTTCTTCACTGGATACCGGCTTATGTGTGCGATGGAGTAGCAGTTATGATTGGGAAAAAACCTATGTAAGGTCTACTAGCAGACACAACTATAATATAAGATTATATAAACTTAAACATTTCACTTGGACTCGACTTCAACTTCCAAGATAACCAGTAGAAGGAAATTATCAATGCGGCGTGTTTTTTTCCTTTTGTATGTTCTAGCATAACTCTGCCGTCCGTGACCCAATCTGAACAAATGACCTTCGATTGCTCGAATCAGCTGCTAATGAGTCCCGGAGAGGATTTTGTTAGCAGATTAATATTTTATAAGATATTTCTTCTAATACTAATGTTATTAAATTCAAAACTCGCCCCGCCACTTCGTGTTTAGTAGCATATGTTTTGACAATATCGAGGATTATCTCACAAAGTAGTTAAAAATTTTGTTACTAATTACCGATTTGTCCATTATTCTTATACCTCCAATGAGGTTTAAAGTTGGCTGCCATCCAAGAAGATTCGAATTGATGGAACGTTCTTCAAATTTATCGGATCTTGCTCCTATTATCCTTAATGATTTCTACCTTTTCCGCGGTCAAACGAACATCTCTGGGGCCATAAATTTGTATTTATATAATATGAGAGATTCATACACACCATCGTTTTCCAGAAAAAGAAGAAAACGTCTCAGCAGAAAGGAAACCATTCATATTGCAGTGTCTCTGTTGTTGGGTTTACAAACCCACAGGTTATGAGTATGTCGATGTTTTTCGATTCTGTTCTCTTGAGAACGTTGTCTGTAAACAGCAATCAAGCCGATTTATACAGGGTGGCCAAAAAGTCGTGGATCAAACGCAAACTTGTAATACAGGGTCACTTTTCGGTAGAGTAATTTTTTTATAAATTATAACTCTGCAGGGGTTGACCTTAGAGACCTCCCGTAGAACAATTTTTGCAGCTGATGACCTCATCTATACCCTATTTGCGTTTGATCCATGACCTTTTGGCCACCCTGTATAGTTCTTGCGATATAGAGGATTTATAAAAAGTTCAAATCTAATCTTTGCCTTAATCGCAAAATGTATATTCTTTATATTACTTTTATTTCAAATTATATACATTCTTCCTATCCGGTACACTCTTGACTGAGTGGACGTGATCGCTATGAAGTAGTGGTAATAGACGGAGCAGATGTGATGCGCTTCACGACGTTTCGCCAGCGTTGCTCATCGTGCTGCAGTGATTGAGTGAATCTCCTACGGCAGACTTTATTTGGTCAGTCCAACGCGTAGGTGACCTTCCGCGTGGTCTAGTGCCTTCCACTTTCCCCTGGACGACAAGGCGTTCTATGGACTGATCACCACGCTGAGATACGTGTCCGAAGAATGTAAGGATGCGAGATTGTAATGTTGAAAACAGACGCTGTTTTATTAAACTCGGTATTCCGAGTTCTTGAAGTATCGAGTCGTTTGTACGAAACTCGGTCCACGAAACCCCAAGCATTCTCCTCCAGCACCATATTTCCAGAGCGTCTATTTTCTGCCTTTCCATATATCGCAAGGTCCACGATTCAGCTGCGTACAGAAATTAGGGGAATATAAGTGTCTTCACGAGCCTGGTCTTCAAGCTTTTGTTATATTCCTGTTTCTCAATATTTTTTGCATTTTGTTCATTGCCGTTTTTGTTATGCCCATACGTCGTTTGACCTCATCGATGCATCCGCCATTGCTTGAAATCATTACCCCAAGATAAATATAGGATTGGACCACGTTGCATTTCGCGATTTGAGTCACTTGAGGCGAATTATTTCTGGCACGGTTAACAATTATCACCTTGGTTTTGCTGCGATTTATGTTTAGTCCAAACTCATGGCTCACTCGTTCCATCCTTGACAGAAGCTCTTCCAAGTGTAGCGAACTGGATGCAAACAAAGTGGGATCATCCGTTTAACGCAAGTTCGCAATCCTGTATCCACCAATTGTTACACCGTCTGTCCAGTCTTCCAAATACATATAAGCCTACTTTATATAAATTACAGTGACGTTTTTATATAATATATATTAGGTTGGGGAAAAAGTCTTTTCGCATTATAGTATGTATGAACCTGTAATAAAATCACTTTGGCTATACTATTTGTATCTGGCTGGTTTTGGTATCATTAAAAGTTTAAATTTTAAAGAAGATAATTCCAAATTCAAATTAGGAAAATGTGTGGTTTTTATTTATTTTTCGTACCGTCAAGATGAGGGAATCTAATGAAGAAATTCGATACATTTTAAAATTTTATTACAAAAAAGGTAAAAATGCAACGCAAGCCGCGAAAAAAAATTGTGATGATTATGGGCCTAGTGTCTGTGAGAGTAGCACAAATTTGGTTTAAGCGTTTTCAATCCGGAAATTTTGATGTCAAAGATGCACGTCGCTCAGGTCGCCCTATTACGGATAAAATGGATGCCATTTTTGAAAAAGTGGAGCAAGATCGGCATATCAGTAGTTACAACGTAGCTGTAAAACTGGGAATTGACCACAAAACAGTTTTGACGCATTTGAAAAAAACTGGGTACACAAAAAAGCTCGATATTTGGGTACCTCACGAGCTCACTGAAAGAAACCTAATGAACCGTGTACTCATTTGTGATTCTTTATTACGACGTAATGAAACCGAACCATTTTTGAAGAAGCTGATAACTGGTGATGAAAAGTGGATCACGTACGACAAGAACGTGCGAAAAAGGTCGTGGTCAAAGGCCGGTCAGGCTTCACAGACTGTGGCGAAACCCGGGTTAACTCGCAACAAGGTGATGCTGTGTGTGTGGTGGGATTGGAAGGGCATTATTCATTATGAGCTGTTACCACCAGGCAGGACCATCGATTCTGAACTCTACTGCGAACAACTGATGAGATTAAAGCAAGAAGTTGAGAGAAAGCGGCCGGAATTAATCAACAGAAGGGGTGTGGTTTTTCATCATGTTTTCATCATGAGGCTAGACCTCACACATCTTTAGCCACTCGGCAAAAATTAAGAGAGCTTGGGTGGGAGGTGTTAATGCATCCGCCGTATAGTCCTGACGTTGCACCTTCAGATTTCCACCTGTTTCGGTCTCTTCAGAATTCTTTCGGCAGTGTCAGGTTAACATCACGAGAGGACTGCCAAAACCAATTGACGCGGTATTTTGATCAGAAGCCCCAAAATTTCTATAGCAATGGGATCATGTCCCTACCTACAAGATGGCAAAAAGTTATCGAACAAAACGGTACCTACATACTTTAGTTAAATGTAAATAACTATATTAAAAAATGTTGTGAATTTTCTTAAAAAATGCGAAGAAACTTATTCCCCAACCTATTATGATATCATATTATCACTGATACTATTAAGTTATATCATTGATACCAGTAACACTTTTTTATGAGTCTCATTTATTTTTATTATTCAAATATGAAACGTAACATAGTATAATCTATGTCATTGTATAATAATCAGCACAACTATATATAAAGTACGAAAATTTCCTCAACTCCTAACCTAACCTTACTTACGATTCTAACTTTTTCTTCATTCATATTTAACCTGCCCTATTCACTTTTCAACGTTTTTAAACATAGTACAATTTAATATAATTGAGCATTTGAATTATTTCAGGTTAAAGAAAGTTTATTCGAAAATTGACAAGTGGATACATTTTAATAAAATTTTCGCGTGCCAAACCTGGAAGATGAGAAATTCCAATACTGTAGAACTTTTTAAGGAGCTCAACGAGACGGACCGACATATATTTGACTTTGATATATCTGCTTTAGACTGGAATTCCTATATGTATAATTATATGATGGGAATTCGCTTGTTTCTTATCAAAGAGCCTAAAGAAACAATCCCTCGAGGAATAACAAAACAATATTTACTAATAATAGTGAATTATATAGTGATGACAATTTACGCTATAGCTTTGTTTTGGTTTGTTAAACTTTTGGGTGGAGGTGTGTTGAAATTAATGTATAACATTTTCAGCTGAAATTTAAAGACAATTTATTAATTTTGGTAGAAATGGGAATAAACGATTTACTTTATTTTATGAAGTGTGTTATTTATTATCAATTCGTAATACGAATTTTGTAGATTTTTGGCATTTGTAAAAAATAACGTGTGGCACTCGGGGACTGCCGCTGTAAAGCTATTACATAGCATTTTTATCAACTTATGCAATTATAATTAGGTATTTATTTATTTTTTATTTATGTAGTATTTTTTTTCTTTGATATTAATTCAATCTACCACTCTACCAGACTCAGACACGCCTATGTTGTCTGACTCACTCTATAACGCGTACCGGCTTACGCTGCGTCACTAATCTCGTCAAAGAGATGTGAATACGCAGTATGCGTTCTGTCCCACTCTAACGCACCTGCGCTACGTCATCGTGTGTTAGGTTTTTATTTTGCGTTACGGGATTTCTTGATTCAGTCGCCGCGCTCAAAGCCCGCGATAAAATCCATGCAATAGCTTAAAAATATTAATAGGAATATAATTTTTTTTTGTACTTTACTTACATAGTTCCTTATATAACTTACCTTAAGTTCAGGCTAGATGAAATTAGAGTTAGAAGTTTAAATAATTGACGTGTGAAATATTAAGAAAAAGATGTACTGGCCCCTGTCACCCCGGAAACACGTGCAGCCCATTCGTAGCCTGCACTGTCCAAGTCTGCCTTTAAATGCAGTCTTCGGAAGAAATTCTAAATGCTATAAATTCTTTTAAGCCAGGTTCAGCTACTGCCGTGGACGGCAACATCTAAAAGATTTAACAGGTGCTTGTCATTTGGACGCACTAATAAAGTTGTAAATAAAGTGCTTAGTGGGGATAAACCGAGTTATTGCTATTTTATATGGGGAAAGAGCTACTCTTACCGAAAAGAGCTTTTTGAACCAAGATTTGATGTGTTGTTAAAAGCTGACTACAAAAATGCATATTATAACTAAATTGGCAGGGATTTTTGTTAACAAAGCTTTTGAAAACATTCCAGAAATATATAACTCTCTTCAGAAGTAGCTTTTCAACAAGAAGATCGCCCTATCCGGCTATTTTAGTCTCGCTATAATATTTAATATCTTGATAATGGTACTCTATGAGGTAACGCAAAGGTTGTACTTACAGATCTTTCAAAGATTATTTCAGATTTTAACTCAATATCTCCATGGTGACAATTTGTACACCGTCGACAAAATAAAAAAAAATTATACTTTAGCCCTGTTTGGTCATTGAGTTGCAATAAATGAAGTGAAGAGAGAAGACGTGTTTATTTTTAACTAAATTTTATTGTGGTAGTTATTTAAAATTGAACCATAAGCGATCGAACATTGGTATTTTATCGAAAAGGCTGCATTCTTTATACAACATTAATTTTGTTCCCTTTGGAGTAGAGACTCTTGGGCCGTGTGGTTTAAATGCGACGGCGCTAATTAATGTTTTAAGTTGGCGCCTGGTAGATAGTACCGGTGGCCACGCAGCTGGTGCTTTCCTTGGTCAACGAATAAGTATCGCAATACAGCGTGGAAATGCAGCATTAAAGGCACACATTCACAGGGACCAAACTTTTTAAATTCGTTTTAATTTTCTATTAATTTTAATTATTTTTATTATTACTATGTAGTTTAAGAAAATGTTATCATTTTTACTATAAACGAATTTCGGTTATTATAAACTCGCTTTTAATAATATCATACGTTAATGTTATTCTATTGGTTCCGAAGTCTTATATATCAAAAATAATGTATAATATACAAAACTAAAATAAATATAAGCACGAAAGTTCCAAGACTTTATTGCAATGGCCTATTAACTAAATACAAAAATACCTTAAAAATAAATGAGCAAAAGTTATCACAATTTTTATCTATCCCATAGGTACATAGAAGGAAATATTATGGTAATTTCTGGGGTATCGCTTAAATAGTATTGTAACTGACATATAAAGAAATTATTACAAATCACTTTCTGGAATTAGAAAAAAGCAAATACCCTCGTAATCAAAAACTTATTAGAAACCCACCCACTTTTTCGAGAGTACCCTCTTATAAAAAAAAACTAATTCAGTGCAATGGCATTCATTTATCAAAAGTTCACTTTTTAATAAACAGTTTAAGTTAGATTCAGAGTTGAGACTTAGTGGAGGACTCTAATATTAAATATTGCTTTTGATGTAGGTACGTCATACTCATACTTAGCACTAAGTTATAACACTGAGAGTCTACACCACACATCACACAAAACGCAGAAAAGTTTTATTTTAAAGATACTTTAAATCATCAACAAATCCGTCATTAAATATTGTAGTTTATTGCAATGATCTTTATACATAATTGTTAAGAATTTTATATAATTCGACAGAGTCTAAGTACCACTGTTAGTCTTTTAAATGCTATATTAGCAATTTTCTTTTTTCATTTCAATTTTTTTACAAACGCCCTTAAACATAAATTTACTATAAACATCAGTTTACGTGTTGCAAACATGAGTGATAAAAAATTCAGCTATTTGAGGCATTTTAACTATACATAAATAAAACTATATACAATTCGATATATTTGATTACATTAGTATTTATGTTATTTTAAACAATTTACTGAAAAACTGATAATACCAGTATCGTGTAACTAACAAAAGAGATAGCGATTGTGTTCCGGTCGTTTTTATTTAATTTTTTATCAATAATAATGACATACACATCACAAATACAAATTATGTAAAATAAATACACAAGTTTTAAGTAACTATAGACGTGGCCTTAAATTGTTACACAAATAAGATTATTTTTTTATAAAAATAAAAAAAAAACTATAACATGCACGAACATGTAAACACACCAATTTATAATACACAAAAGACAAAAACAACGATTTTAAAAGTCATTTGACAGTTGGGGAGCACGAATACATATCGACTTTAACTCATCATAAATTTTCTGAGAAAAATCCCAAGTTTCCACTCTCCGGGTTTTTCAAATCTCTTACAGACAACTTCAATGACTCAGAATACGGCTTTTCGACATATTGGTGACATATATTTGATACATGATGTATACTTCAACTACAATTTAGTTACAATAAATTACAATTATAAAAACATGCAAATTATCCAACTCATTAATTTGAATACAATAAGACATAAAATCGCTAAAATGAAATAATGAGCTACTTTTAGTTTCAAATACCGTTTTAGTCCTTGTGGCACCGTCTCCATAGGATCCTTGAGCAAATACAACCTTATTCCCCGAACTTGATTATAGAAATACATCTTCCAGTCTAATTGCGCGATATTAAAGTCGTAAATATCTTTATCTGCGTCGCATAGTTCTTTATATAAACTCTGGACGTTTTGATTGGAGAACTTCCAGGACCGACACGAGAAGTAGCCAATGACGCGTGAGAATTTTTCTATTTTATGGTACGCAACTTTCAATCTGAAACATAGTTGTTACGGTGCTTTAAGTTCTTATCTGTCCATGACCATGATTCCTGAATGCTCGCGGTAAAGCTATGTGAATAATTGATTCGGGTTAATATCAGTTGAAGGATTTTTTAATGTTACGTTACATATATATGTAAGCGTCCCACCCAAGACTATGGGACATCAAGAATATTTTGCTGAAAGAAGACTTTATTTTATTTTGAAAAGTAAGTATTACTGCATTCAATGATTTTTTAAAACTACTTGTCTCGTCTGGGAATCGAACCGACTTAGAAAGGAACTAGGAAGACACAGTTTCATTGTCATCATTACAAGCATGGATCAAATGTTTAAGCGGTGGTAGCGTCATCAGAAAGATGAATTTTTAATATGAATCAGGAGTATCCAAGATTGCGCATTCAAATTCTATAGCTTCATAAAATAATACGAAGAGATATAACTGATAAGTTAAACAATACATACACAGGTTTTTTCCCAATAAGTACAGCAATGCCGTCAATGATGTAAGCAGGTATCCAATGTAGTAGAAGACAGTAGAAATTGAATAAGTATTCAGAAGTTGTGAAGAGTAAGATGTAATGCCATACAGCTTGAATAGTGGGTACTTCAAAACCGTAACGATGGTTTAGTTCCAAGAAATTATCTGAAAAAACAACAACAACAAGATACTACTTTACCTACTTATATAATAATATTTAGGACAATATTGTAATTTGTAACAAAATAATAAATTTTGTTTTACATAATGTGTGTAAGGAGCTGCAACCATTACACCAGGTTCCATATGAAATCTTAAGTAATTAATAATCAATTAATAATAATAAAATAATTTAAAAACAAAGATTTGGCATCTATCAGCGGGAGGCATGGTGAAATAGGAGCACGCACTTACATTCTCGTATAAATCTACTTACCCCAAGTAAGTGGATTTTCTTCTGAAGAAACAAAATTATACACAGGCGGAGCTTGATCAAGAGGAGGAGCATCCTCATGGTTTCCAGGATAATCTTTTGCAGTTTTCCAGGCAGTAGCAATACATGCGTTCACAACCATATCGCCTGGTACCAGGTCGGCGACTGCATGACGGTTACACAGTAGCACTCGAAGAAGGCCAACTGCTACACCAACAACTACCTGTATAAATGTAATTATTATGTACCATAGCATAAGAATATGTTTCCGCACAAATACACATCTCTAGCCTAACTTAAGACTAATAAGTGATTTAAAACTAACCTAATTTACTATGAAATATATTTAACCTAAGAAATTGTCCAATAACACTATATACAGTCTCTATTAAGGGGAAGATATTCTGATTGGAAATAACGAATTTACCGGGGGCCGATGGCTGGCCATGCGTCATACTCGTGAACGGGTGCTACTTGTGGTGACTGGTCGTACTTGAATTCGTGTATGCGGTGATGTTAGTTATTTCGACTATGTATTTGCGTGTTGTTCCCACGAGAATGTAAGTTCGTGCTTCTATTTCACCATGTCTCCTGCTGATAGAGGACAAGTCTTTGTTTTTAATTTTTTTATTATTATTTATTACTTAAGATGTCATGTGGAACATGGTGTATTGGTTGCAGCTCCTTACAAACGTTGTGTCAAAACAAAAAACTTGGCGATTAAAAAGAGTGACGGAGAGTTTATTGCCAGTTCTTCTCTTCCGTTCTACGCCTTTAATTTGAGAACTGGCAGTAAATGTAAAATTAGAAGCATTTAATATATATATATGTTGTTTTTAACGTTCATAGGTGTACATTGTGTTACCTAAATGAGTAAATGATTTTAAATTTTGAATTTTACACTAAAAAATGTTCACAGAGTGTCTTACCTTTAATAGAGACTGTAAGTAGTGTTATTGGACACTTTCTAATGTTAAAAATCCTTATTAGCAAATTAGGTTAGACATAAACTATATTCTTCTTAATATCACTAAGACACAGTCGTATTTATAACAAACTACGAATCTCTCCTTAGTGTTCTTAGCTTAATCTCAAGTCAAAATCAACTTACCAAAATTTATATAAGCCTAACAAAAATAATGGCCCAAAATTTCTTTACCATATATTTTTATGGACTTTTTATTTTTGTGGTTTTAATAATTTGCCATTTTGTATCGGAGTTCATAGACTTTGGGAAAAATAGAATTTGAATTCAAAGAAATTTAAATGATTTGATAAATACCTATGAAATGCATGAAATAAAATAATTAAATTATTATGGTATTTATTGTTGTTTATTTATATTATTTATGTAATTGTTCAAACCCCATTTTTGAGAAATCTTAAAAATAACTGGTGATGATTTTGTATGTCACCTAGCCCTGCAATTTGCATATTATAGTGACAACGAAATTCAAACTATAACCTAACCAAAACATTGCGATCCGTTCTACGTAATAAAATTATTGTATTTTAAATAATTAATACATTTTCTAAAGGTTACTCGTGAATTTCTAGTTATTGCAATAATAAAATAAATGAATACATAAATAACAATAAATTGAAGATATATGTGTACCGTTTTAGATTTTTAAATATTTGTTATTGTTAACTTTTTTTAAAGGATAATAAACAAAGTATTGCATGAAATGAAAATCAATTTGTATTTTGACATTTTCTGTCTTACTTGGGCTTAGCTTAATCTCACCGTTAAAATGTCTATAAATACGAAATCATAGTTTAACCTTAGTGTACACTAAGCAAAGTTTTTCGTAAGGTAAGTCTGAGCAAAGTCCAAGTCGCACTATAGATCTCACCCTTAAACTAACTTGACTTGGACAAATGAAACTACGCGAATGAAATTATGATAAAATGCAAAGGTTATATTTATTACTTTGATTTTGATTACATTTACATTGTAAAGACTTTAGTTGCAACACAAAGACGAGTGTTTGTTTCTGTTCTTTTTTTATGTAAGGAGGCAAACGGGCAGGAGGCATCTGATGTTAAGTGATACTTCTGCCTATGGACACTTACATTGCCAAATCGCTCGCAAGTGCATTGCCGACCTTTTAAGAATTGGTACGCTCTTTTCTTGAAGGACCCTAAGTCGAAGTGGTTTGAAAATACTTTAGTGGGCAACTGGTTCCACATAGCACCAATATGCGTGCGCGGGAAATACTGCCTTAATAAACGCTCAGTTATGGAACGACAGACGTCGAGGTGATACGGATGGTATTTTGTAATCTGTTTTGTTCCAATAACTTACCCCAGTAGGTCCGTATACATTGTCAATCCATCCTACAATTGGGTCTCTTGCTGTAGCGATAACTAAAAATACACAATTTGGTTAAATGCCATTATAGTCGATTTATTATTTAAATTCCATTAGTATTACAATCTATAATGGTCTTGGTCATAGGTTGGAATATTTCTTTAATCTTTTGTGTATTTTATAGAGGTGTAGGTGAGTCACTTGTGCCAGACATATGTCGTTTTGATCTAAGGTCTGGCTGTCACTGAGCAGACCCGCCGAACTCTGATTTATATATAGCAGTGCTTTTATACTAAGCTTTATTTATGTACCTTAATCCGTTAATCTTAAAAAAAAACATCCTTTTTCATAGTGTTAATAGAGTTGTCTCTTCTATCATTAGACCTAATTATTTTAGCACTAATTTGTGTGAAATAATAATAAATATTAAAAAGTAATCATATATTATTGGTGTCAAAAAAAAAATATTGAAATTAAATATATCACTATTGCGTAACTGAGGTACAAGTAATGGTAAAAGAATTTCCAAAACCGGTTTAGTAGTTCAAGAACAAATCCACAGAATGATATTCATTAAAGCGTAAAACTAATATATTCATGTGTTACTTAATAGATTCTCACCAATAGATGGCCTGACCATGGCGACTGGTAGTCCCTTAGAATATTTTAAGACTACATCTTCGGCGGCTGCTTTTGTATAAGCGTATGTGTTGGGATAATTTCCCACCAACCTAAAAAAAGTAGGGCAAAATTTAAGAACGAGGGATGTGGATGTTGGAAAACTTTTTATATCAGCCGTAGGGCTGACATAATAAAGTGGCGTGAGGAAATATAAAGTTAAAGTTGTTTTGTTTCACCAAGAACGCTCCGCGCACAAGTCATCATGCTTCACCGGATAATTGTGTCATACTCGTTATCACTTTTTACTGAACATCTAATTTATAAAATTCTCGTGTCTTAATGTTCGTTCCCATACTCCTCCGAAACGCCTCAACCGATTCTTATGAAATTTAATATTCATATTCAGTAAGTCTGAGAATCGGCTACTATCTTTCAAACCCCTAAGTGATAAGGGGTGTCCATCCCAAAAATGATAAAACATACGTGTACATACAAACCATAATTTTCACCCCTCTACGATCAACCCCTATTTTTTATTATGATAGTTATTTTTATTGAACTAAAAATTGTTTCCTAGAAATAATATACATGGCAAAACAACGTTTGCCGGGTTAGCTAGTTTTAGAATAAGCATTTATCTTTAGATAAGTAATACATTTGACTTTTTAAACTTACCCAGGCGTGATGTCTTTCAAAATAGCGTCATCCATGTTTTCGACCAAGTCAATTAGTTTGTCGCCCTCTAGTGAGCTTTTGTAGAACTTTTCGTCAATATTAAGTTGTGTGCAGTAGCTAAAATATATTTTTAACATTAAATTTATCGAATCTTGTGTCGTAATATTATTATTCATGTTGCCACAATCAGGCCTGTTATACCAGTTTTGATAATATTGACGTGATTAAATTTTGCTATTTTAGTCAATAGACATTATAAAAAGAATAGGATATTATCATACCTGTAGGCAGTTGAGATGTGTACGTATGCTCTCAACTTTGTACAAGCCCTGGCGAGTACCAGCATTTCCCTGGACCCTCGAACGTTGGTTCCGACAGCGACCTTTAAAGGCTCGTCGAAACGAACAGTAGCAGCCCCATGGAATATGAAATCCACCTAAAACATATCAACATTTAAATTTTTTCTAAAAAGATTTTTTTCTTAACCCGCTTTGGGTTTTACCGGCTGTTACTATACAGCAAGAGGGGGCAGGAACGAGTGGACGGGCTGCGAAAGTAACTACGCGCTGTGTATTTCACATACATACGAGTATATATATGAGACATGGCGTTAACACGAGTGAGCGAAAGATTGTGCCTTTATTTATAAAAAAAATATTCTCCATTTATTACTTGCAAAAAATTAAGTTCTACACAAATGACGTTTACGAAACTAAACTTTTTATAGAATAGTGGGCAAACGGGCAGGAGACCGTGATGTTAAGTAATACTGTATTCCTTGGACACTCTCAATGCCAGAGGCTCGCGGGTGCGTTGCTGGCGCTTTAAGAATTGGTACGCTCTTTTATTGAAGGACCATGTCGTATTGGTTGGGAAATAATTCAGTGGGCAGCTGGTTCCACAGCGGAGGTGCGCAGTAAAAATACCTTAAAAACCCTCTGTTCTGGAACGACGGACGTCGGATGTAATGTAAAGGTAATGGGGGTTTTCGATACGTACTGAACTATCCTAATGATTTATTAAAAATCTGAATTAGCTTTGTGTAGAAATGGACTTCAACTTACTTCCAAAGGATGGTATTCTGGTGATGATGGCATGATGATATAAAGGTCCACAAACAAGTGTTTTTAAATGCTTTGCAATACTCGCGTATAAAGTATAAAAATACAAACTTTTAAGGCAATATTACCTCATTGATAAGCAGCTGCCTATCCGCTTCAGACATCCCTAAATTCTCTTCGTTGACTTCTCCCTCAACCACGTAAATTTTTTTGATAAAGTCGGGCTGTTCCTTCCGAAGTCGATCATATAGCTGCAAATATTACAATTAAGTGTCAATATTTAAAGATGGAATTTGTGTTTGTACTATCTTTCGGGTTAATTGACAAAAATGTACTTACAACATCATTCAATTGCTCCTCTAATCTCTTTACTGGCTCCTTGTTTTTCTTGGCTCTGACGAGAACGTACAACTTTTTTAGGCCAGGAGAAGATCTGAAAAAATCACACAATTATTTTTTACAAGTTTCAACACCATGCACGGCACTTTTCCAGCGACAGCATATGCAATTTTGATATAGCTCTCTTAATATCCTTGGTAGCACGCGATTCAAGAACTTAACATTGAATACGTTTCTATATAATATAGGTATTAGACTGAACAACTCTTCTGAACACTCTCCATGGTAAATGCGGTAGAAGATGCAGAGAGACCACACATTTCTACGCAACGCCAAGCGCACGCAACGCGATTCGAATCGCTCTTCGTTGAATGCGGTCAAGCGGAAGGAGCAGGTACTGGGGACCTCCCGCCCAGAGGTGAGATCAGTACTCCATATGGGGCCGAATTTGCGCTTTATAAAGTTGCAAGCGGTGGCCCGGAGTGAAGTATTGTCTCGCCTTGCTGAGCACACTAAGCTTTTTGGAGGCTAATTTAGCCTTACCTTCCAAATGACCGCGAAACTGAACGTCATTCGATATGTCAATGCCCAGTATTCCGATGCTTGAGGCTTTAAGGAGAATGTCTTGAAAGAGAGGAATAACAAAGGGAGTTTTTTATAGCATAGTATCTAAGTATTTTGACTATGTTATAAATACATGCGGGAAATGTGCAATCAAAATGCGTAGTTAAAGGCGAGGCCTGTAAGACGGCTGGGTTACTTGGTTACGATGGGTATTTGAAGGAAATATTTTACTTAATTAGGCACATAAATTCCCAACGGACAACCTTCATTTGAAATCTTAAAAATGGTACGATCTGCTACTTGAGACAGCAATATATAAGCATTGCCCGAAGAACTGAAGACCAGTCGGCGAAGTGTTGGGCGGCCTCCTACTAGAATCTAGATGGACAGATGACCTGGTGAGGGTGGAGGGAACACGTTGAATGCAAAGCGGAGCTGGTCGTACTGGAAATTTAGAGGAGAGGCATATATCCAGCAGTGGACGTCCACAGGCTAAATCGAAGAAATGCCTTTTCAACGGAGATACGAGTAGTGTTGATATACTTTCTCAAATCTCATTTTTTATTTTATTTTATTTACTATATATACTGTTCACAAGACTTCATTACTTACACTGCTAACTTTTACTAATATTATTTTTTTTCTACTAAGTTTTAGTATTATTACATTATTTTTCTTATTTTTGCGACTGAGGCGCAAACTAGCTGCTGTGGTCTCTGGCAGAATGACCAACGCTGTGGAACCGTCTGCTCCTTAGCATAATGCTGAGCCAGGGAGAATTACAACCACAGCAAACACGTATTACACTTTAAAAGAAAAAAAAAATATTAGATCTAATTTTTTTATTATAGTTATTTTGTGTGTTGTATTAAGTGTGTTGCTATGTAAATGCTATGTCTATGTCAACATGGCGATAAATGTGACGTGAATCATCAGTTATTCCCAGCCTCGTTTTGTCTAATTTAATATATATTTACCTGTTTTATTAATCTATGTTAATTTCTATATTAATATTTCATTTATTGTCTGTGTAATCCGACCGATTTACGTCATTCATCGATAAATATATTTATTAATAATTAAGATTCTTAATAATTACGTCGTCAATTGCGTAATATATGACACCGTAGGATAACAAAACCCGCAAGTTTTTAACTTTTCTAGTAGACTTTCGTAGGATTCTAAACGTATTAACTATTATTTACGCCCACTTTTGCGCAAATTTATCAATTTGCGACGTCTCGTGGTAAATTGATAAACTAACGGATATCCATTCGTAAGATTCCAAACTGTTAGGTTAGGTTAAGTTACTCAACCAATCAGAGCGCACATGCCGTTTGGTTATCGCTTACTTATTATTTTACGCGTGAGTTCGGTAAGTTTATCAATTTGCGAAAAGTTGGACCTAAAATAATACAATTATTTATCTCTCGTTTAGAATCCAACGAAAGTTTAAAAATTTCCTAGGAAGTTTATAATCTTGCGGATTTTGTTATATTCCCGTGTCATATACACACATATGCCAATCATATGTAACTTACATCATTTTATGGTAATAAGTTCTTTGCAAAAAACTGAATTCGATATAATATATACATATTTTATTTCTCCTTGAATTGTCAGATTTGTCGTTAAATAATATAAGCGAATAAATTTAAGCATCAAATAAAATCTAAGCTTAATACTGTTACGTGAAAAAGTTAGTTTAAAATTTCTAAACTTCACTGCACTATTCTAATTAATTTGAATGTCTAATTTAATTATAGTTGTACAAATTAGTAGAAGTTTGAACTGTCATATTTTATCAATTAAAAAAAGATTAAATTCAAGATGCAGCCATTAATATTGGCATCTATTAGAGGTTAGAGAGTATGGAAAAGGGTAAGTTTGCTATATCTTTATAAACGGTACTCTTGCTGAAGAAAGAATTAAAAGCAATTATATTAAATATTATCTGTAGCGAGATAATATAACTGTCTTTATGTTAGATATAAAATTAAGACGTGGACGTGAGTGATACGGTATTCGGCGCACGCACCATTCCGCGAAAGATACGTGCTGACGTTGCGTAAACAACATTCTTAGATGGTAAAGTCGGCGTATCACGCAGACCTGTGGATTTTGATTGTTAGATTAGTGTCACAGACCCAAGCACAACGTAGGTAACACACACGTTAGAATTAAGGTTCACGTAGGTACCACATTCTTTTGAGATCTAGGATATTAAAAAAACTGTGTGTGTGTGATAAAAATCTTTTCAAAGATTTTATCTTTCGCCTTATTCTAGGTTTGTAGAAAAATCAACACAATAGAAAAAAATAACGCTCATAATTTTTCCCTAACGCGCACAAAAAAACTAAAATGTTGACTATACCTAACTTCAGGGTGTCGGTTTTTTGTGACGGAATGCGCGCGCATCGAAAAAATTACTCTTATTCACTAACGCGCCAAAAGAAGTATCGACCACATTAACTGGTTTTAAATAAAATTCGCCGTGTTAAAATCGTATTTATGTCTTGATATATTTTAAAATATATTTATTATTTTAAAAATCATAAAGTTCAAGGTCCAAATGATGATCTGCTCCTAAAACTTGTTTGGCTATGTAGTGCTACAAACGCTACTAGCTTTTGTAGTGAACACACCAAAACGGACCGAATTCTCAATATTCGTAGCGCTGATGTCCCATTTATCTATTTTTATTACTGTGTTTTTATTTTATTAGTGTTCGCCCGTTTAGATTTGAATATCATACATTTATTTGAATTGAATGAAGCTCTATTAAATGACGCTTATCTTTTTAAACATAAAAAATAACTGGTAAACATAAATATGATGTGAAAATTAACGAATATATGAGAATACGTGATTATGTGGTGAACCAGGGCTGAACTTACAACATAGGGCCCTATGTTACACTAAGAATGTTATACTAAGAATTCTGAAGTAGAATCTGTATTTGGCTAAAGTCTTTTAAGGTAACTGTTTTAATACTATATACATCCGAGAACACATGTATATTAGTTTAATAATCCAGTGGCGCTACAACCCTAAATGAGTCTTGGTCTTTGATTGCATGCGTTTATTCGATCATTTTTATTTTATAGACAAGTATGTGGTTGGTATTGTCTTACACGTCATCGAATTCCGGGTTAGAGATATGCTGCTTTACACACGACGTTTACTATAGAAGTACTAAATGCGTAGATACAGAGATTTCATTGATATTGTCGACATATTAACGGTTCTTAACGTAATAATTTGTACACAACACAATTTTATAATTAAACTACTGTTACACAATAAAAATACTTTTCAGTACACTTTTACGTTCCAGTATAGGATAGTTTTTTTATGATTGTTAGTGAATGTATAAAGTTTTGAATCGTTAGTGAAAATTTAGTTTTTAAGAAAGATAAAAGGTAAAGATGAAAGGGCCTCTAAAGGACAAAAACCGTGAAATTTAGTCTTATGCTACGGGACATATTACACAACATTATAACATATTTAAATTATAACATTACATAATTAAACCAATATTCCAATAGTCATTAACAGAATATGTTTTTCTCAAAAGTTTTACTCAAAAACAACAAATCCGGCCCACCAACTGAGTAATAACAGTATTGACAATTTACATTTGCGGTAAAGTGTGAAACTTGTAATGCGATTAATATGTTTAGCTGTACATAACATACACTTAGAATTTGCGGAACTATTTTTCATCAATTCCTACAATTATTAGCTCTATAGAAAGATCTATCCGGTTTGGTCAAAAATATAAATTGTATTGTCTCTGGTGGACATAAAGTGCTGTCCGGCATTTGTGGAATCGTGAGACTACTGAAATAATGAAATAAATTCGTTTACTACTAATACTTGAAACAGTTATAAATGGAATATTTAATTGGGTCCTTTAAGAAAAGAGCGAACTAATTCTTAATAGGCCGTCAACGCACTCGCGAGCCCATTAAGAGTGTCCATGGGCAGCAGTATCACATAACGTCAGGTGAGCCTCCTGCCCGTTTGCCGTTTCTATAAAACAATATGTAAATATCCTTGCTACAATTCCCGACGCCAAAACAACGGATTTTTTTATATGAAAAAATTATTTTCACATAAAAGTTGTATTCTTTTTTCTTCAAACATGCACCGAACACGGAAAAACTAAAAAAACTGTAATCGAGTTACAACACAGGGGCTCAGTGTGAGGACTAGCGTAAGATCACTTTTGTCACAACCATAATTCCTTATTATTATTATTTAATTTACAAACCACTATTTTTGACGGAGATATATCATTATAACATTGTAATATCTTAGAAGAGTAAATATAAACGAAACTCCAATAATTAATAATCGTAGTTGTGTGAAGGCGGCTGGTACCGCAAGAGGTACCTTTTTGGATAAACAACGCTGTAATAAGACAATACTGGCTATATTGCTTCGTCTCCAAAAGCAGGGCGACAGATCTTTCATTGTTTGTACTATCGTAACAGTCCAGGTCACCCTAATCCTACCATTTTTTGACTTGGAAACTAAATTTTTACAAGGCAACAAGCTTCGGAGGTCAACTTTGATATAATTTAAATCGTCATATACTATTGACAAGGAACACACAATGACGTTTACGAAAAAATTGTTTATTAATATAATACACGAAGTCCGAATTTACATAATTTTATACGTATTGATGCATAATTTTACATAATTACGTATAAATTGAATAATAAATAATAATAATAATAAATTTTGGCTCCAAATATTAAAATAGTTAACAGGAATTGCCTTTACCTTTTAGGTTCTCCAATTTTTAATGAATCTATTTCTGATTATATTCATACTTCAATTACTAAATTTCAAAATTCTGCTGACCGTCTCCTTGAAATTAGTCCACATTATGCACTTTGCATCTTAAAATTCTGTCTTTTCCTCCCAAAATTTACGTATGTGCTCCGTTGCTGCTCCTTTTGGAATCACCCAGATCTTTTAACACCATTAGACGACTTAATCAAAATTTGCTTAGAATCACTTCTTAATATGCAGCTGAACGAGCAATCTTGGACCCAAGCTTCCCTACCCATCCGTTATGGTGGTTTAGGGATTCGCAAAATTTCCAGTGTCGCTTTACCAGCCTTTCTATCTTCTGTCCATAGTTCAGCAAATCTCATAAGTAAAATTTTAAGGGCATCCCCTTCAAACTTTGAGATTGCTGGCTTGGAAGAAGCTAGAAACGCTTTCTTAATTGCATGCCCAGGTCAAAATTTTCCATTATCTCTAAATTAACAGAGGAGCTGGGATGACATACACTGCAAAACGACTTTTGACGATCTTTTGAGTTGTAGTACAGGTTCGGCGCGTGCTAGGCTTTTGGCCGTGGGTACGCATGAGGCCGGCTACTGGCTTCACGCTTACCCTTCGTCTAATACAGGAACTTTTCTTGAGCCTGACACGCTTCGAATCGCAACCTGTCTACGGCTTGGGGTTCCGGTCTGCGCTCCTCATATATGTCCCTGTGGCAGTGATGTCGACAAGTTAGGACATCACGGCCTGTCATGCCAAAAAAGTGCAGGCCGCTTCTCGAGACATGCCGCACTTAACGATATCATACGCCGTTCCCTTGCCACCGTCAACGTGCCAAGTCTACTTGAGCCGAGTGGTATTGCAAGAGACGATGGCAAGAGACCGGACGGTATGAGTTTGATTCCATGGAAGATGGGCCGGGTACTGGTATGGGATGCAACCTGTACAGACACGCTGGCCCCTTCCCATCTACATGGAACCAACTACAGAGCTGGTGCGGCTTGTGAAGCGGCTGAAAAAAATAAAGCATGCAAGTACAGGGGTCTAGGCTCAGAATATGATTTTGTCCCATTCGGTGTCGAGACCCTTGGTCCGTGGGGTCCTAGCGCTTTAAGGCTTTTTAAAGAAATTTCAAAAAGGTTAGTCGACATCACAGGAGACCGAAGATCTGGCAGCTACCTCGGACAAAGAATTAGTCTAGCAATTCAAAGGGGGAACGCTGCCAGTATCTTCGGAACCTTGCCTAAAGGGACTCCTTTTAATGATATATTTTAGTTTATGTTATGTTTAGTTATTTATTTCAATGTATATTATTTTATTATTATATAAGTGATATTTTAAAGTAGCATTTGAACCTGTATCTAATATAATTGAATAATATATAAAGACAATGATAGATTTAATTACATCAAAAAACTATTCGTATAAGAAAAAAATTGTAAATTTGTCGAATCACGGCACGGAACATCATCAAATTTTTTGTTCTTTACGACTTGTATGTAGTTCCCTTAAGTAATATTAAGGAAGCCCACGGCTTTGGACCCCTTAAAAAATTGATAATATTACATGCTTTATGTAAATTATATTTACTTAATTTGCAGTGAATTACATTAGGTAAGGTAAGGTTTTAATAATTATTTCTTTTAATAAAAAAATCCAATCAAAAATCAAAATACGTTTATTCAGTTGAGATGCGTCTTCGGGCATGCTTTATTCTAAGTAGCGTTATTGATCAGGTTAGGTTGGGTTAAGCCAAAAATTTGTACAATCTATTCATTTTAAAGTTAAAGAACATGCGCCACCACATTATTGCATGGTACATCATTGCCGTGTGATGAAAATATGTCGGAAAAAAATTTGAAGCTGTTTTAAGGTGGAGCCGTTGTTCGACAATTTTACGAAAAAATTGATCGAGACATCGATATAATAAATATGGCTTAATAAACCATATTTGATAAGTTTTTATTTTATTATTAATAAGTTAGTTTATAAGCTTATTAAGGCACGAAACCCAACTTGGATGTAATGTAAAATGTTGAAGAGAGTGCCTGCGTCTGGAAATACTCAGGGCAATGACTCCGACGATTTAGGTAAAGGCTTGTAAAACTAAAACTGAGTCAGCAAAATGTTCAGCCTTGGCTCGTAAATATCCCTTCAAACTACGCAAAAGAATTGCAAATTGGTGGTACGGGAAAAGACTCTCCCAAAATTGATTTTCAATTATAAATATGCGAACATATACACGTATGAGTATGAAGAACCTGTGTTTGGATTCCAGAGGTCATTCACACCTGCCCTACGATTCTGTAACTCACTTTTCGAACTCACACAGCGGTTTTCGCATCGGCGGTTGCTCTCAAATCAGTCGTGAAGCAGTAATTTTATGATTTGGCATTCTGATAAACAATAAACTACAAGCTCTCACCTTTTCGCTTTGTGAGTTCGAAAAGTGAGTTACAGAATCGCAGGGCTGTAATGTGACGAGAACACGACGTTTTATTTAATTTCAATATTTATGAAATTTTGTGCCTGACAAAAGTTTGAAGTGAAAGCTTTTTATTAACTACAGATTTTTAGTTATAAAAACCTTAAGATTAATTTATTCGCAAGCAAATCATTAATCTTTTATGTATGCAAATGTATTTCGTCAGAGGCGTATTAGTGTGCATACAATAAGATTAGGTCATACGGCAGATTTTCCGTCACTTGTTTTAATTCATTAAACGAGCGCGATCAATGTTACCAAGTTCGGTGATTAGAATTAATTACTATTGCGTAATCGTCCTACAAAGATATTTAAACCGTATGCAATAGATAGTACACAGTAGTATTTAGTATCATGGACTGGACTCTAAATTAGCAGAAGAAAACCGTACGGCTAATGAAGTTTTATTTTAGAATTTTAATTAGGATTATGGCGAATATTTATTCATTAATATAAGTTAATTTTGGCCTAAATGCGACTCTTAAGCCTGAGGTCTGAAAGAATGAATACAAGAAAACCTGCAAGCTTTCTGCGATAAAATCGTTAAGTTCGTGAAACCTAGTAATAGGAAGAAGGGAAAAGCTAGTCACGGGAAACCGGGCTGTGCCGTGCTAAATATTTAAAGAATATTGTCGCATAAGTTGGTGCGGTCGGTGGCGCGCTATCCCGTGTATACCGCAGCACCAACAAATATTGTAGAATTTAAATTATCTCTATAAAAGGGGATCTCTTGTAAACATATTTCTTTATAAATTTCACTGAGATATCAGTGAATAGTGTGTACCATTCGCTTATATTTCTATGTGCGAAATAACAAAACGGTGACGAGAAACACCGTGAACACAAAAATCATTTATTTTATTTATACTCCCAATCACACATGCTAAAATGAGGACAATCAAATACTTTTGAAAATATGTTATAGAAAGGATATACACGTGTGAAAAGGACATGAGAACTTAAGGCGCAGTGCTAACCAAATTGTTGCCCATGTCATGGCCCAAGGCCCGAGCAACCTTCGCACAACTTCGGCCTGTATGACAGTCACGGATGTTGACGTGTCGAATCAAGGTTAAAATATTTAGATCCAACGTCAAATCAGTGCTACTCTATGGGTGTGAAACGTGGAAGGTCACCAAAGACATCTCTCACCGACTCCAAGTGTTCGTCAACCGCTGTCTTCGCAGTATTCTGGGCATCTACTAGCCCAAAAAGATCTCTAAGGAGCAACTTTGGGAGCACTGCCGAGAAATCCCGAATAGCCGGCAGATCAAGCGACGCAAGTGGAAATAGATAAGCCATACACTGTGAAGAGATCCCAATTATATCCCCAAGTAGGTGCTTGCTTGGAACCCACAAGGAAAACGCAAGCGTGGCCGTTCCAAGCAAACCTGGCGCAGTAAAGTTGCAGATGAGGCAAAGAGAGCCGGAAAGACTTGGAGCGAGGTGAAATACGAGTCTCAAGACCGAACGCGATGGAGACTCACTATGGACGCCCTCTGTCCCATCTAGGGGTTAAAGGATATTAAGTCGACTAAGCTAACCAGATCCATGTAACTTCCTCACAATCCAGTAGCCCGCATTAGCGCAGCAGCAGTCCGCGGGGACTATTTGTATCGAAGAAGACAAGCGTCAAACTACTTGTTTACAAGATTTTATTATAATCCCGTATTAGGTGATCGACTCTTAAACCTCGTGCGTTCGAACCATAGATTTTTCTCACCTTCTAGCATTTATTATTGTTATTAGTTCTGACCTGAGTAATTTGTCAATAAAGAGTTTCCCAAGGAATCCAGTGCCACCAGTTATAAACACCGAGGCTCCTGCGAACATTTTCTGGATCTGGGAGTCTTCTAAATGTGGCTCGTCAATCATGTCCTTGTATGTGATGTCACCCCCTTCTTTAACAATCGTTTCTCCTATAACCACCATTCCTGGAAGAGATAACATTGGTTAAATTAAATTAAAAAAACATCTGTGTGTACTTATGTACACGCGATAGAAGTTGTACTTATTTGGTGTAACAAAATAAAAATCTTAAAATTTTTATCTTCCGCCTTATTCTTTGTAGAAAAAACGACACTAACAATAGAAAAAGGTATTTTATACATTGAAAGTTTTATTATAACGCATTATCTAGTTAAATAAAGTTTATTGAAATACCACAAAAAAAACGTGGGGCACTCGGGGACTGCCGCGGCAAAACTATTGCATAGCATTTCATTGATACCTTTACTAAAAAAAACAGTCGGACGGGAATCAATAAAATCTGTGAAGGCGATTTGGACTGCCCCATCAGAGTTAAATTTTTTCCCTTGCAAGAAGAAGTCCAAATTTCGAAAAAAAATTTAATCTGTTGGAGCAAGGTCCGGGGAGTACGGAGGATGTCTTAGACATTCCAATTGAAGCTCTTCTAATTTGGTAGCCGTCTGTTGTGCAGTGTGTGGTCTAGCGTTGTCGTGAAGTAGCAGTGGCGTGGAGCGATTGACCAGCCTAGGTTGTTTAGCCGCTAACTTTTCCATCATGGTTTGCAATTGCTGACAATAGACATCAGCCGTAATAGTCTGGCCAGATTTGAGAAAACTGCAATGAACAATACCGGCACTAGTCCACCAAACGCTTACAAGTAACTTTTTTGGGGTTAATTTTCGCTTGGGGATTTGGCTGGCTGGCCAGGATCCAACCATTGCGCTGACCGCTTTCGATTATCGTAAAGAATTCATTTTTCATCACAGGTAATGATTCGGTTTAAAATACCTTCATTATTGTGCCGGTTCAGTAATGTAACGCAGCAGTTGACGCGCGTTTGTCGGTTTGCTTCAGTCAATTCGTGAGGTACCCATCTTTCAAGCTTTTTAATCTTCCCAATTTGCTTCAAGTGAATTAAAACAGTTTTATCACTAACACCGCAGCCTGCAGCTAACTCGGACGTGGTTTGCGATGGATCCGCTTCCACAATAGCCTTCAATACTTCATTATCAACTTGGGTCTCAGGCCGTCAACGGGGCTTGTTCTGCAGGTCGAAATTTCCAGAACGAAAACGTTGGAACCAAAAACGAACTGTGTTTTCTTTTGCAACATGACCGCCTTACACATCATTCACCCTTTGAGTCGTTTCCGCAGCACTAGTGCCACGGCGGAACTCGTACTCGTAAATAATGCGATACTTTAAGTTTTCCATTTTGTAAAATGAGTGATGCAAACAAAAAAAAAACAGAAGAAAAAAACAAATGAATGACGGTCATCGAAGCACAAATACATTAATAATACAATAGGGAAACTTACAGCTAAAAGGTTCAATAGTTATACGCCATTTCAGTTTCCAACTAACATTTCATTCACATAAACACCAACGCTCAAAAAACTCTCAAGGTATTTAAAACAAATCTCAAAGTATCGGCCAAAGGGCTTTGTTCGTTGCAGAACTTGTGCAGAATCCAAATTAGCTCATGCACTAAAAAACGACATGCTCGCAATAGGTAAGAATTTTTTCTGTATGTAGTTCGTGCTATGGGGACGTACATAAGCTTGGTCCGCGCAGAAACAATGATGGTGCGTACAGGCCCACCCTAGATAACAGTTCTGGCAATCAGCCGCACCATTAAGTAAAGACACTAGGAACGTAATGTCATTTTTTCTACGCTCAGCTAAAGGCAAAATATGAAACTTTTTGCAGCGTGTATGATAGTCAGCAGGTAACAATCAGATTTAAATTGAATGTACCTTAAAAATTTTCTTTGTATACTTTCAAGCTCTTAAATGTTGTATATTGGGTTCCACACCTGTGAGGCATATTCGAGGTGACTACGAACGAAAGAGCAAATATTTTAATGGTTTTAATTTCCTGAAAGTCGGACGAGATTCTTATAATGAAACCTAACGCTTTCGTGGCTTTATTAATGATGCTCTCAATTGCAGATCAAAAAGAAGTTTGCTGTCAAATACAACTCCCAGATCTGACAGATCAACTCTTACAAAATAGAATCTTGAAGTTTATAGGGAAAGGCATGGGGTGGAGTTTGCGAGTAAATGTACAAATTAACACAATACTTCAAGTCGAGCCGTTCAGTACACATAATTTTGAAAGCGGTCCAGATCTTCTTGTAAAGAGAGTGCATCAGCGACAGATTAATCTGTTTCATGATTTTCGTATAGTACAGTAAATTTTGACGACTGAAAACAATTTGATGTCGTTAGCAATTTAAAAAAGTGGGCCCAAACGATCCTGTGGGACTCCAAGGATATATCTAGTTCTTGACATCCATTCAAACCAAGTCTATCGATTCTCAGAACATCTGATAGATTACCCCTAACCCATGAAATAATCTTAAAAGTATGTTGTGGTCGATTTTGTCGAAACATTTGCTATGTATAACATGAGTAAATAGCTGTACAAATTTGAATTTGGAATTCCTTACCAAAGAGGAGAACATCGTGATTAAAGTGGCCAGTACGAAATACGCCAATTTCATATGTAAGGACCTAATATTAAAAATAACCGGTTAATTTAATGTAAATTAAAACAATACACTAATTGAAGGACCAAGCAGCTATTATTCATAAATGAAGATTAATATTCAACTCTTTACTCAGTGTTATATTAATAAAGTTTCCTAGTAATGTCGTACTTGTCTCATCTTCAGATTTAAACCTAACCAACACTCAGTCTCGAAATAATTGATATCTGCACAATAACAATACATTTTTGTATTAAACGAAATTTGGAACTAATTAAATCTAGCATGCATGTTTCGATTGGGATAAGTGTAACTAAACAAGTTGTATGGGAAGTCGTAATATCGTATACGAATTCAGTTAAGTTTAATCTTTTTTTTATATAGAACAGGGGGCAAACGGACAGGAGGCGCACCTGATGTTAAGATATATCCACGGACACTTTAAATGCGAGAGGGCTCGCGAGTGCGTTGCCGGCCTATATGGTACGGTCAAGTGGAAGGTGATGGTGAGAGTCAGAAAGACATTTTCGAAGCAGAATAGGAAATACAGACGTCCGTATTTTATTTATTGATCAATAATGACAATCACATCACAAATACAATACATATATGTAATATATATATAGTAATAATTATAGAAGTTTTATATTATTATTAAAGAATGAACAATAATTGGTACGAAAATATAATCAGCAATTAGACAGCAAGTACATACACAAAAGACAAAACAATTGCAACGATTTTAAAAGCCTCCACAACTAAGCGATACAGAGGATATTTGGTGAAAGCAAAACAACTTTATTCTAATATTGTTTAAGTTAAATATCTAACAATATTATTATTTTACTACTACAAAGGTAATTTATATTTTTAAGCTACTTTAACGTGGCTATATTGTTCTCTGTAAATTTCTACCATTTGAGGCAACTAAAACGTATCAATAACGTCATAAGCTAAATTAACCCATTCAAGAAAACTAAATTACACTCAAGCGAATGTGATTAAATAAACCTTCTTTAACGGGTATAATCATTAATTTATGGCAACACTGACAGCCTGCAGTGTAGCGACCTCTACATTCGGCTACAAATCGGTACGATGACGTCATTCCTTGAAATAAGCCAAAGAAACAACTACTATAGAATACAGTACATATATACTGAGCCTTCGGGCCAGTCAGTTAAACTGGTCCTCCCTGTAGGTCGGAGGAAGAACACCACCTTCTTTCCTTCACAAATGTAAAGTGCTCGAAAGGTTCCAATATTATAAATTCGAGTCTAAATCCGTAAATGTTTTAAATAGATACTAAAACTAATACTAAAAAGAATGTAAAACAAATTCATAGTAGCAGTGTACCTTTAAAGCTGGCAGCAATTCCTCGCTCTATTGCGATACTTATTCATTGTGCGAGGAAAGCACCAGCTCTGGGGTACAATCAATTTTTTATTATCACTGTGTAGGTTAAGATAATTGTAAATACTGTATATTTGATTGTTATGTGTAGGATTTAATAAACGATAATGAAACTCAAAATATACATTTTAATAAAAATGATTTTATAACACCAAAGTTTATAAATGGAAATAATCATAAAAACAAAAGTACTGATCAGTTTTTAATGAGTGATATATCAATTCATATACATTAATTAAGGAATAGAAATAGCATAAACTTATTCGAAATGACCTCCCTTATTTTTAATACAGGCCCTTAAGCCCGCGCCAGTCGTTATCGCACACCACATATTCATTCGATTTCAGTGACTGAGTTTTTTAAAGACGACTCAGACTCTCCAAATTTTTATGGGGTGTATCACAGACCTTCCTCTCTAAGACCTCCAAAATTTATAGTCCAAAGGATTAAGGTCCGGACTGGAGGAGGCCAATCCTCATGTCTAATTAAATCATTTTTGACGCTCAAACCAGCTTTAGTGGTCTTGGCTTTGTATGCAGCTCAGAGTACTGCTGGTACACAAGTATGTCCCCAAATAGGGTCTGACGGTCTTTATAAGGCGATCCAAAACCGTCTCTCGGTACACTTTAGCTCTGGTTTTGACCCCCTTTTTCAAAAATGAACCTCAGTTAGCCCTAATAGACACTCCCAACCAGACCATTACTATATGGATGATGTCCATGTTGCACCTTTGGAACTTTATTTTTAGCTTCTTCAGAACTCCTACTACACTTATCAATCTGTTTATTGTACTTCTCTTCAATATCGAAATTTTTTCTCCTAAGAGGATATCACGGTGTCGGTTTTTCGCTACCCTTAAACAACACCCCGATCTCTTAACCTTATTGCTTTTAGACGAGCATTAAGTAAGTTCCCACTTTTTTTTTGTATGCTCGTAGACCAAGATCTTCATTTAAAATTCTTTTTATTGTTTTCCTACTGACACCCATCTGCAAAGCCATCAACTTCTGTTTTCGGACAGAATTTCTTACTATCCGCGCTTTGATAGCTTTGATTACTGCTGGTGTTCTTGCGGAGCGTGGCCGGCCAGTTCTTTTCTTGTCCTCAACACTGGAGATTCAAGGTACCTATCAATAGTACCGTACACAAACCTAAGCGTTATATTAAAATTTTTGAGCAACTGAAAATGGTACTCGGCGAGTGCCCACAGCGGTGCAACACAATAACAACTATTCGGTCTTCTTTCAATGTCCACTCCGTCGTGAAAAATTACTGAAAGTTATTGTTTTTTATTTTAAAACAATAGTCAAACATTCCAAAATAGAATGCAATAACTTTTTATAAAATCCTGCTCGAAATTTAGAAATAATGTGCCAGTGACAGAACTTTGGGACCAACTACGTACGTTTTGAAAGTTTAACACCTCCCAATTTTGAATTTGGGATAAAATTTTCCGTTGCCGATTATGCAATACTAATAAAAAAACCAGTAGCGCTACAACTTTTTAGGTATGATCGTCAGATTTCTGTATCTGATCCAGTGCCAACACACCGACTTTTTGGGTCTAATTTTGTTATGACATATTTTTAGGAATGCATATTGTTTTAGGGCTTATTAAAAATGACAAAACTTTATCATTAGTATTTGGAAGAGGCACTTCTTTCTCAAGTTTCACAGATATATGACACACGAAGTTAACTGTAACTAATAAACTAATTCACGACGCCCTCATAATCTAATTCTACCTAAGTATAGAACCAATTACGGTAAAAAAACATTGAGCGTTGGGGGAATGCTGCGGTATAATAAACTTCCGCAAAATATAAAAAATGTCTGCCTGGCAATATTTAAATGAAGACTAAAAGACCATATCTTGAGTGATCCCAGTTCTCTACGTAAATGAAAGTCCACCGAAGTTCTACTTCGCTAATTCATCCTTCAAGCTCTTCAATGACGTGATAAATTGTATCTTTAGTATAAGTTCTCATGTGTGCTATCGTCTGTTATGAGAATAAATGTCTTTAAACCTACTGATGACCTCTGAGGTATAAAAGTTTCCTCCAAGGAGTTTAGTCGCCTTTAGTTCTTGCGCATTACATGAAAAAACAAAATAAATGATTTAACATTGTTGTAAATTATACAGGCGTCATTATGTAGATATTCATGGATAATTAAATATACTCACGTGTGATTTATTATGAATATTGTAATTACTTGTGACAAAGTTATATTTCTCGTTATAGACGCACATTATGGCTTGTACAATTAGTTACAAAATTATATATAGAAATGTTTCTTCCGTAATGGTATA